CACGCCGAGGTCCAGACCTGCCACCACCAGTCCCTCTGCCTCCACTGCCGCCACTCCCTCCGCTGCCTCCACCGCCGCCACCAGAGCCCCCACTGCGGCCACCAGTCCCACCGCCGCCACCACCTCCACTGCCTCCACCACCTCCACCGCTGCCCCCACCACCGCTCCCACTGCCACCTCCGCCACCACTGCTGCCACCTCCACCACCCGGGCCACCCTTGCCCTTGCTGCTGCGGCGCTTCGCACTAGTCGAAGCAGCACCGACGTCCTCAGTCACAGAGACGTCTGCAGCAGCAGCAAAGGCGAAGGAGGGGGAAAGGGGGGAGGGGGAGCACCCCTCAAATAAGGGCGAGCGCGGAGTGCCACGAGCAGCACCTACAGCAACTGCACTAGTCTCAGCTGCGAGGAGATGCTGCTCGAGGAGGTCAACAGTGAGGGAGGTGGGGTCAAGGGAGAGAAAGTGGTCCCTGACAGAGCGAAGAGAGTTAGGGAGGCGGAAGACTATGAAATAGAGGGTGATGAACATGGGGGGCTGGTTCGTGGCAAGGAACTCAGCAGGGACGGTAGCGCGGTAGCGAGCGTCGCTAGTGCGCAGGTGGGTAACCAGTTCCGCTACAGTGGCAAAAGCCGACAGCTCAGGGAACAGGTAGGGCAGTATCAGTCTGCCTAGAGCAGCAGTAGCAGGGGAGGAGTAGCGAGCAACGACAGCGTTGTACAGGGCATGTGATGTCCTGTGCTGTCCAAAGTGAGTACATTTGGCCACCGGCAGGTGGTTGCGAATGGCTAAGCGGGCAATAGCGTCACGAGACAGCCACTGGGAACGAGTCGCACCATCAGCTGTGGCGGGAGGGGCTGGAGCGACACCGGACATGTGGTCAAACAGTGAGACACTGTCCTTAATATCGCTCAGTAGGTACAGTTGCAGATCGTCGTGCCACGTGTCAAATGCAACCGGTCTGCCCTCATGATCGAACGCTAGAACTCTAAGCGAAGCCATAGTGGCGCAGCACTCAGGAGCAGCAGTTGCAGTAGTAGCAGCAGGAGCAGCAGCAGTAGTAGCAGTAGCAGCAGTTGCAGGAGCAGTTGCAGGAGAAGTTGCCAAGGGGACAAGGGGCGGGGCCGAAGGGCCTAGGGGCCGAGGGGCCAAACACGAGGGTGGCGGGGCCGAGGGGCCGAGGTGCCAAGGGTCCTAGGGGCCGAGGGGCCGAGGGGCCAAGGGGCCTAGGGGCCAAGGGGCCGAGGGGTGGGGCCGAGGGGCCAAACACGAGGCCGAGGGGCCAAAGGGGCCTAGGGGCCGAGGGGCCAAACACGAGGGTGGGGGCCGAGGGGCCAAGTAGTCACTCGGCACCGGGGCCGCTGCTAGGGGCCGAGGGGCCAAACACGAGGGGCCACAGGGCCGAGGGGCCAAGGGGCGAGGGGCCGAGGAGCCGAGGGGCTAGGGGCCGAGCTAGGGGCGATGGGGTCGACGGGGCCAAGGGGCCGAGGCGACGGGGCCGAGGGGCCGAGCTAGGGGCGACGGGGCCGACGCTAGGGGCGACTAAACCTAGGGGCCGAGGGGCGCGGCTAGGGGCGACGGGGTCGACGGGGCCAACGAGGCCGAGGGGCCGAGCTAGGGGCGGCGGGGTCGACGGGGTCGTGGTTAGGGGCGACGGGGTCGACGAGGCCAACGGGGCCGAGGGGCGCGGCTAGGGGCGACGGGGTCGACGGGGCCAACGAGGCCGAGGGGCCAAGCTAGGGGCGGCGGGGTCGACGGGGTCGCGGCTAGGGGCGACGGGGCCGACGCTAGGGGCGACGAGGCCTAGGGGCCGAGGGGCGCGGCTAGGGGCGACGGGGTCGACGGGGCCAACGGGGCCGAGGGGCGCGGCTAGGGGCGACGGGGTCGACCATGCCAACGGGGCCGAGGGGCGCGGCTAGGGGCGACGGGGTCGACGGGGCCAACGGGGCCGAGGGGCCAAGCTAGGGGCGACGGGGTCGACGGGGCCAACGGAGCCGAGGGGCGCGGCTAGGGGCGACGGGGTCGACGGGGCCAACGGGGCCGAGGGGCCGAGCTAGGGGCGACGGGGTCGACGGGGCCAACGGGGCCGAGGGGCGCGGCTAGGGGCGACGGGGTCGACGGGGCAAACGGGGCCGAGGGGCGCGGCTAGGGGCGATGGGGACGACTGGGTCGCGGCTAGGGGCGACGGGGGGGGGGGGGGGGGCGAGCTAGGGGTGGCGACAGGCCGGGGCCTAGGGGCAACGGGCGCGGGCCTAGGCTAGCAGGGCAGTAGGTGCTGGGCCCAAAAACAGACCGGTCCTAGGGGACCTGCTCTGAAACCATGTTAAAATGTTGTGAACGAGAATGAATGAACTATGAAACAGTTGGGTACAAGTACTAACCCTAATTGGGTTGTACCCCTTATGGGCTACCCCACTACAGCCTACACAAATGTATAAGCTATAATGTTCTTACACCCAAGTCCACGCCATACTACTCGCCCAGACCAGCCCACTGCTAACAGGCCTATTTACCCACGGTTATCAGACTGATCCATTTTTTACATGCGGAAATTCGCAGCAGTTTGCAGCCGCAAGAGGAGTCTATTACGTAAAAGCCGGCACCGATCGCATCTGGGTACCGGGCTATACACTCCTACGGGAATTACTATTGCAAGAGGCACACGACAGAGTCACCTCAGGCCATTTCGGAGTAGAAAAAACACGGCAGCAGCTGTAGTGGTACTACTATTGGCCCGAAATGTTGACCGACGTGCAACGACACGTGGCATCGTGTCCCACCTGCCAAGTCATGAAATCATCACGGAAACGACCGGCAGGATAGTTGCAGCCGATACCACCCCCAGAGCGTGCTTGGCAGCAGGTGACGATGGATTTCGTCACGGGGTTACCGGCCGGAGCAAGTGGGAACGACGCGATCCTGGTCGGCGTCGATCGATTGACGAAAATGGCACATTTCGCAGCCTGCAAAAAATCAATCACAGCCGAAGAAACGGCCCGCCTCTTCATCGCAACCATTGTTCGATTACACGGGATACCAGCAGCAATCATCACCGACCGCGACACGAAATTCACCAGCAATTTCTGGTGGAACCTGTGGCAGCAGTTAGGCACGAGGCTGCAGTTCAGTTCTTCGTACCACCCCGAAACCGACGGACAGACAGAACGGACAAATCAGACCATGGAACAGTTAATCCGAGCCACGTGCGACGACCCCACCACCTGGGAACAGCAATTGCCACTAATCGAATTCGCGTACAACAACTCGCCATCCGCCACGACCCAACAATCACCATTTTACCTGAACTACGGACAAGACCCTACAGTACCCATGACTCCGAATCCCGACAACCCGGTGCCACGTGCGCAACAATTCGCAGAAGTTCTACAGGAGGCACGAACCAGGGCAGCAGACGCAGTTAAAAAATCCAACGTCATCGCTAAGCGCAACGCCGACCGCCACCACAGACCCGTCACTTACCAGCCCGACGACTTAGTTCTACTCGACACCCAAAACCTCCGCCTGCCCATAACTCCGAAACTCCGCCCCCGATAATGTGGGCCATTTCGCATCAACCGCATGATTACACCCGTCACCGCCCACCTCCTCCTCCCTGCTGACTGGTACGTCAGCCCGTCCTTCCACGTCAGCCTGCTTCGCCCCTACATTCTATCCACCAGCCAACTGGCCCGAACTCGCCCAGCCAGCATGACACGACCACAGACGAAACCAATCATCACGCCCGAGAAGATTCTGAGTCACCGAGTTCGCGACCCACGAGGAGCACGAAGGGTCGAAGAGTTCGCGACCCACGAAGGAGCACGAAGGATCTGCTGGTGCGATCGCACGCCCACCGAGGACAATTGGGTCCCCCTGGGCAACATCGAGAACCACCCCGTCCTCAACGAGTACCTGCGCAGTCGAAATTTCCGAGATATACACGTGCTCTCGTAAGGGAGGCCTCCTTGGGGGGGGGGGGGGGGGGGGGGGGGGGGGGGTAGTGTAAGGAAAATTCATTTTCCTTACTTCGCGTCCCTGCCCAGCGCGTACATCACTGTTCCCGCCAACAGCACCCCACAATATTCCGTTACCACTCGCGACATTCGCCTCGACACCATTCCCGCCACTGTTCACGATGCGACCCGACCTCACGGTTCGGTTGGTAACCCGCGCTCCGGACCTCCGCCTCGACAGTCCCCAACCTCGGCACCAGGCCCGTCGCGCACCCCAAATTCCCACGTTACCGTTACCACCATAGCTTCGCTATATATTCTTAACTCAATCCTTCGCTCATTGGATTCTTTGCCTCGATAGTGCAATCTTCGCTCGATCACTCAATTGCACTCGTAACAGCACCTCATATTGGGCTTCAGCTCTGTCAGAGACTTGTCAGAGGCTAGTGCACAGTGACCGTGAATAACTACTGTTCCTTGCTAGACCTATCTGAAGTCTCGATGCGAGTTGCTTCTTGGTTTAGCTTGTAGTAGCGTCAGTTCCTCCTGATATGAGCGCGTCTGGTCGAGGCGTCAGAGGGGACTTGGAAGCGGGGCCTGAACCAGGCACGAATTCGGGTCTCGCTTCGGGATTCTCGTCAACCGCAGGATGGTTGGTGCCGTCCGCCGTCGATATGCGATGGGTAGGCTGCTACGCTAGCAGTCGCATAGACTGATTAGTGTTACCCGCGCTTATTGCAACTCAATGGTTCAGGCTTCGTGCTAGTCGTGATTGCGTCTTATGGCGAAGGCTAGACTTGATTCGTTCAGCGTCTCAGGACTTGAAACGCGGAAAGGCAATTGTAGCGCCAGCTCCTGCCGGACCCTTTCGGCGTTCTCTACTCCGTCCCGTGCCGTCCTGTCGCTGGTCGGTGCAGTCCTGCCCGTCTTAAACTGTGTTGCCATGCGAAGACAAGTCGCGCTCCCTGTTTATCACATGTCACGGGTTGCTTGTGTTCGCTTCTATCTGAACGCCGGATTCAAGGGACGCCATTTCTCCGCAAGGGTCTTACATGTGTCGTCCGTATTCCATTCCTCCCATGCTGTCCATGCTGCAGAGAGCACCAGGCGGCCAATCCGCAGGTTCCAGTAACGCGGGCTTCACGGGGACGAGCGGGCTGTCGATTCAGTCCGGTGGTGCACCACCATCCACGCAATCCGGTTTTCCGTTCTCACAGCCGCAGTCCGTCGGCCTCTCGGGGTCAGGAGGCCAGGCATCCGTTGCAGCGCGGGAGCTGATTGTCAATGTCCAACCGCTCGTCTTCATCCTCACCCGTAAGCAGCCCAGATTTTCTTGTCTCTGTGAATAATGAAGATTCGTCTGACACTCAGTGTTCAGCCCCTGGCTGCATTGACTCCCTCCTGTCTCCTCCCTGCTCTTTCCTCCCTCCTCTCTCTTCACTTTTCTCTCCTCCCTGCTCCATGTTCCCTGCTCTCTGTTCCCCTGCTGTCTGCTCTGCCATTGTGCAGTCATGTTTCTCCTCATGCTTCTCAGCTTCCCTCAAGCTTCAGAGTTTCTGGTATGCCGTTCCCACCTTCTCCTTGTCAGTCCCGCCACATTGTGAGTACTTGGACCATTGTGTAAGTCGTTCCAGCCTCTACTTCAATATTCTCGTGACTACTGCTTATGCGAGCGTCTCGACAATTGCTTTCACGTCAGGATCCCGTCAACCTGTTTCCTGCACTGCACGTCATACATGTCATTCCCCTTCCCGTCCATCCCACCTCCCCCGCCCTCCCACATCCCCCACTTCCCATCAGCTGTGGGTGTTCATCGGAGCGTTTGTAGCAGCCATGCTGCGAGGACTCTCCCTCTACCGCCATCTCGCCGACCAAGCCAGAGCTCATCGGGCCTTTGCCCGCCTCCTCGGCCTTCCCCCTTCCTCCACCTCCTTTCTCCTCTCTAATCCATCTGCGCTCGCCTCCCCTTTCCCCCCCTTTGGCCCGCCGTTCTCGAGTCTCCCCTTCCAGCCTGCAAGGGGTGCAGCAGTCCCTCTCTCCGACCTCCCCTCCTTCCCCTCTCTCTCCCCCTTCCCCGCCTTCCCCTCGTCCCTCTCCCCTTCCATCTCCCCGTCCTCATCCTCTGGAAACCTCAGCCAATCCACGTCAGCAGCGGCCAGATCAGCATCCGCATCAGCTCCAGCTGGAGCTGAGTCAGCAGCATCTGATTCTGCCGCCCAGCGTATGCACATGCAACAGCCACAGGCACAGGCACTGTCAGAGCTCGGTGGGGAGTGGTTTGGAGCGGGGGAGAGGGGTGGAAGGATGGAGGACGGGTCGTTGCTTGCTGCAAGAATAGGTTCTTTGGTTCGAGCTCAGTTCGGGCAGCAAGCTGCTTCTCGGCAGCAGCAGCGAGGGCAGCAGCTGCAGCAGAGGCAGCAGCAGCCAGGGCAGCAGCAGGGGCAGCCGCAGGAGGAGGGGGATCGCATGTGGTTGGAGCACCAGGCGCAGCTGCGGCGGTTGCAGCGGCACCTGGGGTTACAGCTGGCGCTCATGCACCGAGAGCTGCAGGCGTCAGGTGAGAGAGAGTCTTTATAGCGATTCTTTATCAGGTGGTGGTAGGAGTCGCCACGTTCTTGTCTCTCCCCACACGTCCCGTTGTTCCCGTGTTTGCACCTGGGGTTGCAACTGGCGCTCATGCACAGAGAGCTGCAGGCATCAGGTGGGAGAGAGGCTTCAAATCGATTCTTTATCAGGTGGTGGTAGGAGTCGCCACGTTCTTGTCTCTCCCCACACGTCCCGTCGTTCCCGTGTTTGCACCTGGGGTTGCAGCTGGCGCTCATGCACAGAGAGCTGCAGGCATCAGGTGGGAGAGAGGCTTCAAATCGATTCTTTATCATGTGGTGGTAGGATTCGCCACGTTCTTGTCTCTCCCCACACGTCCCGTTGTTCCCGTGTTTGCACCTGGGGTTGCAGCTGGCGCTCATGCACAGGGAGCTGCAGGCATCAGGTGGGGGGGTGGCTTCGAATCGACCTCCTCGCCTTCTTTTGAGCCCTGGTGTTGAAAGCGGCTCTTCCACTTGATTGACCATACGTCGTCATTTTCTGTATGTCAGCTTTTCCGGATGGCCCTTTTTATACTATCTCTGAGGCGCCTGACAAATGGATGGCCCGTTACAGACAGAAGATTCCTGTGTGCTCAAGATGTGGTGTGGACGCACCACACCATCGATCCCTGCCCTGAGCAACCTTGTGATTGAGTTTTGAGTCGCTTCAAAGCTTGCCTCACCATGTTCCGTACATCTCTCCCTTTCTGCCTGATCCGTTCCAGACTACAAGCTGCTGCGTGCGCTGGATGCGGACAACGTTCCATCCGACCCTGTTCTGAGCGACATTGGATTGAGTTTTTTTAAGACTTAAATATTGCCTCATGTATCATGTTCCCTCCCAATGTATGGTTTCTGCCTGGTCCGATCCAGACTACGACCTGCTGCGTGCGCTGGATGCAGACAACGCTCCGTCGGTTGGTCCCTGCCCTGAGCGTCCTTGAGCTTGTGGTCTTAACTGCCGTGAAACTCTCCTCAACATTCTCCGTTTGTCTCTCCTTACTGCCTGGTCCGTTCCAGACTACGACCTGCTGCGTGCACTGGACGCGGTCAACACTCCGTCAGTCCCTGCCCTGAGCAACGTTGGATTGGGTTCTTTCAAGGCTTATATGATATATCTCGCCTCGTGTATCATGTTCCCAATGTATTATGGTTTCTGCCCGGTCCGTTCCAGACTACGACTTGCTGCGTGCTCTGGATGCAGACAACGCCCCGTCAGTCCCTGCCCTGAGCGACGTCGAGATTGCTCGCTTGCCTGCTTTCCCATACAAGCCGAAGAGGTATGCAGTCTCACTGGCCTGGTCAACGGAACCATTCGTCAGGTCCTTCACATTGTAGGGCGTTTGGCCCCAGTCATTTATTATGTGTTTGTTTCATTTTTTCCTGGACCATGTTTCTTGTTGTGATTTTTCATTTGCCGGGCCATTCTAAGGGTGATGGGTCTCCGAGTGAAGTCAAACAGTCCTGTTTTTTTAGTAAACCCACCACGTCTCACTGTGTTCTGATTTCGTGCTACAGCAGGAGTCGATCTGGTGCAAACAAACCGCGGCCCGGCCCCTCTTTGCAGTCATTATCGTCGCCATCAATTCAAGGAGCAGCAGCAGCATCAGCACCTCCAGCTGCATCAGATGCTTCATCAGCAACAGCAGCCAGTGCAGTGTCAAGCAATCCGGTTTCAACCCAGCAAGGGAAGGAGGGAGATGAGAGCAGAAGCAGCAGTGAGCAGTGTACAGTGTGTTTGGAGCCTTTCCAGGAAGGGGAGATGGTTCGTCTGCTGCCGTGCCTACACCAGGTGTGTATCTTCACTTCGTCCTAAAGTAGAGCTGTGCAATGAGGTGCACTGAAACCATTGCATTCTGGATGCATGGAATTCCGCAGCAATGTGTCTTCCTCTCCGTTCCCCTTGGTTTGCTTCTGCCAGTTCCATTCGCAGTGCATTGATCAGTGGCTACAACGCCAAGCCAACTGCCCTATCTGCAAGCACCAGCTAGTGCTTTCATGAGGTAATTTATTGCATGTGTTTGCAGTACACCAGTTCCATCCATTATGTTTCCACTAGCCTTCTTAAATTGACTGTATCTGTTTCCTCTATACTGTTCCCAAATGTACTTAGGTTCCTGCATTGCAAAACAAGTTCATGACAAGTGATTTATATCCTCCACAAGGGGATCTGAATGGTGAAATGAGGCAATGTTTTGGATGAGGTGTAATCACAGGTATGTATGTACATATACATCTGACGGCATTCTGGGATGTGTACCATATGACCCACGGTCATGGGATTGTACTCCGCCACGTCATGTGGCTGCTGGAGCATCCCATCCCATCCCATGCGTTTACGCGTTATGTACTGGAATCACCCCAGCCCAGCCTACCGAGCAACAGGCTGCAGGACACAGGGGGTACAGACTGGTACAGAGCAGAAAATTATGGCAGTCAGGGTGAAAACCCACTCGCATGCCGCAATTGACTGGTTGAGATCTTCCTATCAGCCAATCAGGCTGATCGTTTCCACGCTGCACATGGTCCCACACGAGGTTGCTGCGCTTTTGACCTGGATTGTCTGCCAACGAAGCAGGATTTCACTTCTGCGGCTCGCCACGCGTAGCCTCTCATCCAATCAAATATCCGTCTCATCCAATCAAACTCCACTCCGCTTCCCCCGGACTTCCCCATTTCAGTCATCGTCTGTCCGTGTTTATGGGCTCTGCGATCCCTTTCCCCCATCCCTCCTCCCACCCACCCCACTCCACCCATCCCAACACCAATCCCAAGGTCCCTGGAGATTCCACTTCCATTTCAAAACAAAAGCTCCAGAATTTGACATTCACATGGTTGGTCTGGTTTTATTGACATTTCGCTTCTTTATTTCCTCTCCCTTGTGTGTTAACCTCTCGCCCGTCGAACTCGCTTCTAGAAACGACGACGCAGAGGGATAGGAAGTAACTCGGACACCAGATTCCACTCTTCTGAAGTGTTGAAGCTTCTTGACCATGGCTCCCAACGAGAAGGTTCTGCGAACGGACTCGATGAACCCGAACGTGCTAAAGACAGTGTACGCCGTTCGCGGCGAGCTCTATCTGCGAGCCGCGCAGCTTCAAGCCGAAGGCAAGGAGGTACGCGAATGACATTAAAGTTGATTCCGTGCGAATCGTAACTCACTTTTACAACAATGTTTCACGCCATGCCGTTTCTAACAGCATGTATGCTCCGTTTTTAACAGCAATAGTGACGATTGAAGCCATTCCGTTTTAGCAACATGCACGTTATCCATTGGTTCTCCCGTTCGCTTCCTTCATATCGTGCAACCGCAGATTATCTTCACGAATGTCGGCAACCCGCATTCTCTCGGCCAGAAACCGATGACTTTCCCTCGCCTCGTAAGTCCCTTCCATTTTACACGCGTTCTTGTTACCAAATCTCCACTGTTCGTCCTTGACCATTCTCGTTATGGCAGATGCCTACATTCTGTCACTCGTCATTCCGACGGAGCTTTGCAGTATCACCTACATGCCGTATTTCTATCAAGTTCTAAACGCCTGACACGTGCGTCTTTTCTCCTCACCGGCATTCCCAAGGTCCTCGCTCTAGCGGAGGCGCCCTTCCTGATGGATAACCCTGAGACCGCCAAGCTCTTCCCTGAGGACGCCATTGCTCGTGCTAAGAAGTACCTCTCCTTCACGACAGGCGGAATCGGTGAGTCGATTCGACGCGCCTAGTGTTTCGAGCTTTTATTTTATGGGCAGGCGGAATGCGACTATGGAAGACGCGGTATTGTTTTGAAGCGCCTCAAATCTGCGCTTGTTAGGCGAAACCGAGGAGTTGCTCCGCTTGATGAACCGTCTTCTGAGCAGCACCCGCTGACATTACCGTTGTTCGACAGATTTTTGAAGTAGTTGGTTCACGTTCCGAAACGTGTCTGCGTCTCATTGATTTTCGCGTTTTCTTCACCATCTGACAGACGCCTACATATCCACATTCCATCTAGCCCCCTTAACTCGTTTTGCGTTTTTCCTCTGCATACTGGCTCCCCCTTCAGGCGCGTACAGCGACTCCCGCGGACTAGCGGGCATCCGCAAGGAGGTGGCGGAGTTCATCGCCAAGCGGGACGGCTTCCCCTCGTGAGTGCATTCAGCCGGTACGAGGTCCGATACTGAGAATGGGACCAACCGAGACTGGGACTGGTACTGGGACTGGGATGACAAAATATGCTACTTAAATATGCTACTTAACTGCAAGATAGCAAAGCTGACGATCTTCATTCGTCTCTTATCTTCAGTCTCTTCCTCTCATCTCCCATCTTTCGTCTCCCCTCCGCGTCTTGTTCCCTGCGCTTCTTCTCCACTCCTCTCTCCTCGCTGACCTGGGTGCAGGGACCCCGATAAGATCTACCTCACGGACGGCGCCAGCAAGGGAGTGGAGCGCATGCTCAATGTGCTCATCCGCAACGAGAAGGACGGGGTGAGTGTCAAGAGGAACGGCGCCTTTTCCTCAGCGCTCATTCGTGTTCGCCTCAACGCTCTCGGGCGCGAGATGCTCCCCTCTCAGTACCTCCCCACACTCATCTTCCTGTACCGCTTCCTGCGCCCTTCCGCTTTCCGCCTCCTTCCCCCCCCCATCCCGCAGATCCTGTGCCCCATCCCGCAGTACCCCCTGTATTCCGCGTCCATCGCGCTGCTGGGCGGCACGCTGGTGCCGTACTACCTGGACGAGAGCCAGGGGTGGGGGCTGGACATGGCGGAGCTCAAGCAGTCGTGCGAGGACGCACGCAGCAAGGGCATCGAGGTGTGTGTGGGTCTGGAGGGGGCTGACGCTTGGAGGTTGGCTGTTGAAGGAGGATGGATCGATCAGGGAGTGGTGTTGAGCTGGATGTGGGGAATGGCCCTGACAATGATCTATCTTCTTCTTCCCTCCCTCCGTACTTCCACAAAAAAATCCCTTCCTCCACTACTCCCCCCCACTCGCACCCACTTTACTCACTTCCTTCCGCTCGCTCCCACAGTACCCCCTTATCTTGCCAAGTGTGCTCTCAAACCCGGCAAATTCTCGTGCTTTAAGTCCTCACGACAACCCCATGACCCCCTCCCTGCACCCACCAAACTCCATCCCTTCCCACCCATCCCCGCGGCCAGGTGCGGTGCCTGGTGTTTATCAACCCAGGCAACCCCACGGGCAACTGCCTGTCAGAGGAGAACCTCAAGGAGCTCGTCAAGTTCTGCGTCGACGAGAGGCTCGTGCTGCTGGCCGACGAGGTGTACCAGGAGAACGTCTACCAGGACGAGCGCCCCTTCCTCAGCGCCAAGAAGGTATGGAGAAGGTGTTTTTAACGAATCTCTACCTGGACGGACGGCCCTTCCTTAGTGGCAAGTGGCACGTGCTGTAAATTTCCGGTTCGAGGCTTGGGCAGAGAAGTTTGTGCACGTGCCCGCTCCCACTTCCGCTCCTCCCTCCTCCCCTTT